GGTTCCCATGATTAAACAAGCAATCTTGCGGGTATTGATGGTCCAGCATCTCTGGACAAGAAAGCAAAATTGAGCTGTATCATTAGGGGCCTCGTGGACCACTGATCGCTCCAAGAAGATATTTCAGCCTAAGCATTCTCATCACTGTATTGTAAGAGTTGAAATTGAAATATAAAGTTGCAGCAATTGTTGTCAGGTATATAGGCTCAATGGATAAAATGAATTAAAAAAAGGACGCCATATTATCTGTGCTATGAGTAAACTCATTAGATCAATTTTGATTAAAATAATTAGTGTCACTGTTTATCAAGAATACAAGTTTTTTCTATCCTGTGTGCAGTTGAAGCTCTAAACTTTGCCTCCCTTTAGGAGCTAAGATAATGTAATAAGAGTTACGTAGATTAACTAATATTATTTCTTGGGAATATTTGTAACATATCCTGTATATACTAAAAGCTAAAAATAATTTTGATGTAAAATAATACTGTAGTATGCTTAACCCATCAGCGATGGGTAAAAATTTTGTCAAGTTTACGTATGCACCGGCTTGTTGGCGCGCACCGTCAGTTTCCCGTTTGTACCCGGCTCAATCGGTAGTTTGCGAGCGACATATAGCACCTAAAAGCTTTTATTTTGCTAAAATTTATAAAAATATTAAAATTTTGAAGGTTTACCTTCACTTTAGGTGCCATTGCCTAAAATCTTTACCATATAAATGAAGCCGCTACTACTGGAGAAAAACAACCTCTGTCCGACGAGCCAGTAGCGCGGGAATGGGCATGGCATGATGCCCCCAGCGTTTGGTCCACAACAGCCATGGCATTTACGTATGTGACACCCGGCGCCAATGGGTTAACTGTATTGATTAATATAAGATCTGGTCAATATTCATAAAATTTATATAAATTAGTACATACAGTCTAGTTTGTTTGACTTAATAGTATTTGCATATTAGATGGTACATTGCTGCCTGCATGTGGTCCAAAATCCTGGCTTACTTAAGTGGCACTAATCCTGGTTTCTTGGCTTGTAGGCCTGGCATACATGAACATATATGAAACATCAAGATTCCCTTTGAAATGTTATCTCTCTCTCTCTCTCTCTCTTTTTTTTTTTTTTTTTTTTTTTTTTTTTTTTTTTGCGTGCATGCCATTTTCAACAATGTAGATTAGTCATTTGATATACTATGCCAAGATTGTTTTAATTGACAGTTTTCATTGCACAGACTCCATATCATCTCAGTAGGTAATCTATAATTTTGTGCAATAATAGTAACAACATTCAGTTTTCTGTGATACACCTTGTGCCACTGGTCATAGCAGACAGGAATAGCATCCTGAGTATGAAAATAGTATCCTCCCTGGAGCTGGTGCTCTTTCAGTCATGGTTCACTGATGGTACTGGCTACACTTGTTTACTGATGAAAGTAATGTTCCTTTCTAAATGCCATATCTAAATACCCTACAAGGGCTTTGTGCACTCATTGTGAGTCATTCCAGTCACCCTGGCCTTCAACTGAAATTCTCATGTTGGCATGTTCTTTTTACCTCAGCCCTCTAATATTTCCATGAAGGCATATTCCTGTCATCTGACCCTCTGCCAAAAAAATTTCTTGACGTGATGGTCCTGTCACTGGATCCAAGGGGATAAAAGGCTAAAGATTTTAAAAGAGTGGGTGTGAAGATTTAGCAAATTTAGTTGTTTTGCATCATTTTGTACATACAGAATATTTTTTCACTGGAATAAGATTGATATTTCTAAACAGTATGTTTTTCTTGGTGAAACAAAATGAAAACTACAAATGGGATTGTGAGTGAAATCTCTCCATAACGTGAAAGCCATGTGTAAATATAGATGTGTACAGTCACTGCAGTTACTTTTGATGTGAAAATTGGTGAGCCATTACTTTTGATGAATTACCATGTACCCCCTCTATATACCCATAGAAAACATCAGTTATATTGGCATGGATGATATTAGCCAAAAAGGTGGAGCTTTGTTGTCCATATGTGTTCATCTCCCACCAGTTTGCCTGAGGTACTGGTAATATGAGGATAAAATTTTGTGATCATACTCACTATTTTATTTTATTTTTTTCTTATTTGACCCACCTTCTCTTTTTGGTTTGTGGGCAGACAATGCCTAGAGGACTAGAGTTCTCGGAAGAGAAAATCACAGCTACTCCATCCCTGATTGCTTTGGAGAAGAGTAAAAAGGAAATTTCCACTCTGATAATCAGAGTTCACCTGGAACAGTCCAGCTGTGGATTAAATCTTGCTCTGTGAGATTACGTAAAGCAACTAACAGGAGTAGCAAACTCATCTCACATCAAGTGGAGGCTGAGCCCCATGTGATACTGAAAGAAATAAAGGAAAAGAAACCACTGCTGCTGAGGGAGATGAGCATTCATACGATCCAACACCACTTCTAGGATGACCTCTTTTATGAACGTCGCCAGTCGTGGCAAAAAACGTTGCTCACCAAGAAACAACAACAGAAAAGAGTTCTATTTTGTAAGAAATATTTGAACTGTTACATAAAGAGATGGGAACATGTGTTGTAGACTGATGAGGCTACCTTTACAGTGACTGGAAATGGAAAGAGGAAGTTGTGGGTGAGGCAAGGCATGGATCCATACTCACCACACAAGCCATGATCAAAAACCCTGATACAGTGATGGTATGGGACAGGGAAGCTTGTCCTGCCAAGGAATGTGACTATGAATAAGGTCTGCTACTTGGAGCTCTTTGGGGAACACCTTGATGACTGCTGCCAATCCATGTTCCAACAGGACAGTGCACTGGCTCACACATCGAAATTAGTAAAGAACTTGCTCGGATGGGTTGGTATTAACTACATCAAAGACTGGCCAAGGAATCAACCACACCATAACACCACTGAGAACATCTACAGCCTTATGAAGCGGCACCTCAGGGACATCCCGACTGTGCCTAAACTCAAAGAGCACCTCCATGACCTATGGGGCAACCTTGAACCCAATCTCCTTCAGCATCTGGCGGGGCAAGTTGTGTGAAGCATAAGGGACTCGCCACTTTGTACTAAGACCGTATTACTTTTTATGTTGCATGGATGCACATTGCGAGGTGGCGCCAATTGTGATGGGGATGACTGTAAGTATATATATGTATATATATATTTTCTTATTCTTTTCTTCTTCCATTGTTTTGTTGCAGGTTAAGTTATTCCCAAATGCTGGCCAATAACTTTAAACTCAACAGATGCAAACAGAAAAGTGCAAGGAATATATTTCGTACAAGATCTTACAAAAAGAAGTTTCAAAATGATCATTCGCTCTTCCCAGATACTGTCTATGGTCAAATAGTTGAATAATTTCCATTATTCTGAAGGTTAACTAATGTAAAGGAACATAGATTTTATAAGTCTGGGCAAGACATCTCAGAAAAGGGAAATAAACATCATAGAGTTTTCTCCGTCATTAGCTTATAAAGCCTTAAACGTCAAACCAGAACCCTGTAATAAGGAATGGTAGGTCCTGGTATCACGAAGCAGGCATCTGGGTGCTAATCTCTAAACAATTATGAACAGCTCAACATACTGAGTTCCCCCCCAAAATATGTTTAGTAAAGAAAGAAAAGGAAGAGTTTCAGATTGCAGATTTAAAGGTATAAAAGCCAGACTATGACCCTGACTGGAATTTCTTTGCAAGTAATTCAATTATATAGTGAATACCTTTCCCTGTGCATCAAGGACCCACCATCACCTTTGGTGATAGAAATGACATGGTATTATGCAAAAATAAATGTAATATCAATTTATACTTGTTATTCTTTCTTAAAAATATTTTAATGTGGATTTAAATGTTTAATAAGATGTTAAGAATTTTAGAAAAAAAAAAAAAAAAATTACCTCTTCTCTTAAAGTTCAAAGGACCCACTAAAAAGTAAGAAAGTCTTTTACTGTATGAAAGTAGTGGTTTCCATTAAAAGATAAATTTACAGCACACTTTTATTAACATACAACAAACTTCAGACAGTGCTGAAACATTGGTGAAGCATATATATTTCCTGTTTTTGAAGATTTCCATTTTTTCTTGTTATTACAAGATATTATTGTAGATAGAAAAAGTTATTTGGTACATAAATCTGTTTCCTGTAACACAGGGTGCCTAATTTTTATCTATTTTTTTTATAAGTAACAAGTAGTTAAAACCTAAATATAAAGGAAAAATAATATATTCTCTGAATATTTTGTTTTGTTATGTTATGAAGTAATATGTAGTTTTGAAAAAAGTTGACTAATATGAAAATAAGTACATTTATAATATTAATAAATAAATAATGCCATCTTTACATATGAATTTAGTGAGTGAGTGAGTGAGTGAGAGAGTGTGTGTGTGTGTGTGTGTGTGTGTGTGTGTGTGTGTGTGTGTTGTGTGTGTGTGTGTGTGTGTTGTGTGTGTGTGTGTGTGTGTGTGTGTGTGTGTGTGAGTGTGAGTGTGTGAGTGTGAGTGTGAGTGTGAGTGTGTGTGAGTGTGTGTGTGTGTGTGTTGTGTGTGTGTGTGTGTGTGTGTGTGTGTGTGTGTGTGTGAAAGTGTGTGTGTGTGTGAGTGTGAGTGTGTGAGTGTGTGTGTGTGAATGTGAATGTGAGTGTGAGTGTGAGTGTGTGTGTGTGTGTGTGTGTGTGTGTGTGTGTGTGTGTGTGTGTGTGTGTGTGTGTGTGTGTGTGTGTGTGTGTGTGTGTGTGTGTGTGGTGAGTGAGTGAGTGAGTGAGTGAGTGAGTGAGTGAGTGAGTGAGTGAGTGAGTGAGTGAGTGAGTGTCTGTGTGTCTGTGTGTGCGTGCAGGCGTGTATGTTTGTGTTGATAAATAAAATGCCAAAGATTTGTATAACCCAAATTATTTCAATACGTCAGTCCCAAAGGGTGTCGTTTTCATCAGTAATCAGACTTCCTTCATCAACTTGGGGAAAGCAATTTTACACTTCCATCTCCACATATAGTATTATTCAGTATAAGTATATATGCATAATTAACAGATTTATTGATGGTCTTGGGGAAAAAATCCAGTACATAGAGGAAAAAACTTGCTTCAGCTCATTTCACAAAACTAAAAAGCTACAAGTTGTACTACAATCAAAGACAAATCTATTTACAGAATCACATGAAAAAGTAGCAAAGTTATAAAAAATATGGTTATTATACACTATGATATGTGTAATTAAGTTTTGATGCTTTTTGTTGGTTTGGAGAACCAGCACAATTTGTTTTGAACAAAACAAAATAAATAGTACAAATATTAATACGTAGAAAAATAATCTTAAATTATGGCACACATGAGTTTTAAAATTAATGATGGGTTATATTTGGCAAGAACTAAAAAAAAAAAAAAAAAAAATACACCTGACATTCATTCATGCCAATAACACCATACAATAAAAAAGCTGAAATATACAAAATGCATTGAAATAAAAAGCACCTGACTTTCAAATACAAAGAAAAGTACATTAAGTTTTCATTATGACTACCATAAAATTGTTGAGGGGGAAAAACGTGCTCCATGTACAATTTAACTTTCTTTCTTATCAATTTTCACATCACTAAAGGGAATAACACTACATATCTCTCTTCCTTCATATTGCAAGTCATTGTAATTCAACTATTCATGTTCTCTCTTTCCCTTTTCCTTTTTGGAGAAGAGAAATTTTCCTCTGAATTGTAAAATATCAGTCTAAATGACATTAAAGTGAATTTTCTTCCTTAAGATAATACTTCTTCCTGTAAAATAGACAAAAAAAATTCTCACTGTACACTATGAATCTATGATACATACACTGTATCGGAATAACAACCAGAACAATGTCTTATTTGTTTCTTCTTTCCTTTACTATATTTCATTTTAGCCTAAGTAGTAGTAACTCTCAAAGGAGACTATTGGTTATATCTCACAATTATTTATTGCAGAACACAGATCACATGGCTCTTGGTCCAAGTATCCAGACATTGGCTATAATAAGGAACACTCCATGCTTCACACTTGTCTCTTTCAAGTAAATTAAAGGGGCTATCTCACAGCCAGGAACATTTTCAACTTTAGTCACAATCAGTACTTAAGGCATTGTTACCCTGAATTGTAGTAACAATTTCAGTTTATTTGTTTAATTAAACAAATTTTTATAACTTAAGGAATATGAATTGAACTCAGGTCACGAAGAATATCACACTTTTAGGGTGACTAAAATTTCATTAATAACTGCTTTCCAATTTATAAACATACTTTCCAAATGTTTTCTGGGTTCAAGGAGAACAAGACTGACTGTGCATGGCCCAGTGCTCACGCTGGAAAAGAAAGGGAGATAATATCATTATTACATTCTCAAAAAATGAAGTGATATTAGGATAATTAACAATATCAAAACTAATATCAATAACCATATAATCATGTTAACATTACCATATTAAAATTACTATTTCTAATAATCTAAAAGAACATTAATTTTACCTGGCATTTTTCAGAGCAGTACCATGCCTTCTTGCAGCCAGAGCATAGAAAACGTGCTTGTTGAGGGCAGTTATTCAAGCACTGCTTTTTATCAACAGTACCAGCACCACTGTTCTTACTCCGGACTGCATTGTCTGGGCTGGTCATAATCACTGAAGGCTGATGCATACCAGGAATAAGTCCAGCAGGGGCCATTTGGTGTATTGCTGTGCCTGAACTGTGATGCATATTGTTTGGATACTGGGCAGGATGATTTGGTTGCAACGGCCCTGTTAGATGAGGATTATGGCCAACATAAGACGGGCCAGGGTAAGGGGGAGGGATGTGGGGTAAACGTGGGCTTGATTCAGGAATGGAATTTCGAACCAGGACTCGTGGGACAAAAGTCTGTGGTTGAGGGGGCTTGTCGACAGAGCCGGCTGGGGACTGCATCCTGTCGTGGGTAGCAATGCCTCTCTCAGATCCAACAAAGCCTCCTCTTTCTTGGAGACTTAGATTTGCATCACAAGTCTGATGAATGTTCTGCTTTATTCTTTCAAAGAACTGAAGATTAGATCGGTATAAGTCCTCTGTTGATGCTGGATCCATCATTGATGACTGATACTGTTCCAGAGATCTTGTAGAAGGTGGTGGAGGTGGGGATCTGTAAGGTCTCACAGCTGGTGCAGGTGGAGGTATCGGAAAAATGGTTGCCTTATCTGGCCCAAGACTCAAAGGTGGGCTTGGTCGTAAATGCTGTTGTCGATATATATGTTGCTGCATGTTCATAGCTATAGCATGCTGGTGTTCTCTTGCCATATCAGAACTACTCTCACTACTTCTCCGGCCACTCTGAATCAGTGGTGGATGTTGCGTAGGGCTGGACTTTGGTTGAGCATAGTACAAAGAAGCTGCTGTATGATGGTCAATCGGCAAAGAGCTTGTTGTAGGAGTAGCAGGACTAGAATGATTATTTTGATACATAAGCCGATGGAGCATTGGGTCTCGAGGGTCGTGAGTTTCTGAATGTCTCCTTAAAACTGA